GGAAACCATCATCCCTTGCATGGGGTTTGAACCTTGCCCACTTCAAACACCTCGAAGCACCTCTGTCCAATGAGCTGCTATGCATTTTACATTATTTGCATTATTTTATTTAAATTGTACTTTCTTAATATAATGTGTTTATATTATTTAATTTATTTAACAATATCTATTATATTACCTAATAAATTTATTTTAATTAGTTAAATTAACATAATAATAATTATTAAAACTTAATTATTATTTTACTTTGACAATAGTCAATTTTATTAATTTAATTTAACAAAATATATAATTTAAAAATTAATAATAAATATTTAATAGAAAATTCAAATTTTCGTTGGAAATCCACCGGGAATTCGTCAGGAATTCTGTTGAAAAATCAGCTGGAAATATTTTGTTGAAAATTCGCGCCGGAATTTTCGACAGATTTATTTTTGTCGAAAAATCTGATGAATTTTTGACAAAGTCTAATTGAGATCCACCGACATGTTATTAGGGGGTATAAACAAGTCGAGTCAAGTCGGATTTTGACCCTCATTGAACTCAGCTCGTTACATGAAAAGCGAGTTCGTCTCGCTGTAAACAAGCTCGAGCCGACTCACCAGCCATAGGAGGAAAATTTTAAATTTAGGTGGGATTTTTAAAGATTAGGTGGAATTGTTTAAAAATTAAGCGGGATTTTTAAAATTTAGCCTCGGATTGGTTAGCCAAGTATGGCTGTAATATTCCTTGCTATGAAGATTTAAATACTAATGATTTGCATCCAGTTCTCCAAGGTATGATTTTACTGGATAATACTGGTTTACCTTATATCAGATATGGTTAATCACAATTGTTTCGTGTATTGTGTTTGTTCGGTCTCTCGTATTTGTAAGCCTGATTATCTTTTTGCTGTTTTCCTATATCTAGCTGTGCACAGATGTGACTTTTATTTGTCTGAGATTGCTATGTTCTGCTTCTGCTCCAGAGATGTCTATTTTAATCCTTGGTTATCTGTATTTGGTTGTATCCATTTTCTGCATCCTTACTTCATTATTCTGGTTACTTATGGCTTTCTTGCTAGATATTACGATATATTATGGCGTTTGTGTATTTGGTTGTGTTCTTTATGCCTCGTGGTTCAGTATTCTATTCTGATTAAGGCTATCTGGGTTACTTATTTGCGGCACCTTCACTCCAGTCATTTTAGCAATTGTAGTTTAAGTGTGAGGCTCTGGCTCTTTTACTCCTGTTTGACTTATGTCATCCTTTGTTGCTGGTATATTTCTTTTTTGGGGCTGATCTCTAACTGGAATTCCGTGTCTTATCCTACTTTGGCCATTACTTATGTTAACACCCGGTGTGCTATGATTGCTGATTGGAAAGTTTCTAGCAGTGTTCAGTTATTAGATAATGGCATAATTACTAAATGTTCTGATCTTTTTCATATCAGATGTGAGGTGACTCAGCTTTTGACTATTTCCTACAGTAATATTATGTATAACCGATGTTCTCATTTCTTTTTTTGGAGAGGCTTTTACAGGTTATTTTGGATTTCTAAAATGCTTCTTATCAATCACTGTAAGCCTCTCTTTTCTACTATTTTTTTTGTGCTCTCTTTTTCTTTGTTATCTTTTTTGCAGGAAGTCTGTGCTGAAT